GTCCTGGACCTCCCCGGTCGCTCCTGCTCCTGCTCCACGGTCCTAGAGCTCCCCAGTCCCTCCTGCTCGTCCTCCACAGTCCTGGAGTTCCTCGGTCACTCCTGCTGTACGGTCCTGGACCTCCCTGGTCGCTCCTGCTCCACGGTCCTGGAGCTCCCCAGTCCCTCCTGCTTGTCCTCCACAGTCCCGGAGCTCCTCGGTCACTCCAGCTCCATGGTCCTGGACCTCCCCAGTCGCTCCTGCTCCACGGTCCTGGAGCTCCCTGGTCGCTCCTGCTCGTCCTCCACAGTCCTGGCACCTGTGCCCGCTCTCTTATGCCCTTGCCTTTGGCTGCCCACCGTTTTGCTCTTGATTTCCTCTTTCTGCCTCTGCTGAGTGCTCTGGATGAGCCAGTTCTCATTTCCTTCCAGGGAGATGCAGTGGTCTTTTTCTTTCCGTGTAGCCTCCCTGCATGGTTTTACACTCTTCGTTCGTGACCCCTTTTAGGTTCCAATATCAACAAGCCTTTGTGTTTCAGCTCCTTGTTTTTGCCTTCTTTGATGGGTCCCTTCCTCTTTCTGCCCCTAACATGAAGGCACTCTCAGAGTTCCTGTCATCTTCCCCTCCTCTGTGCTCACCTGCTTTCTTGGCTTCGCTGTCACCTCTTTCTGCTGACCACCTCTATTCTGAGCTCCAGGCTGTACACATTTACAGACGGACAGCCCTGACCTTGCTGGGTGCACACCCAACCCCCATTCTAAGCTGACGCCCCGTTCTACTGCAAACACCACTGTGTTCCATTAACCAGCCCTGCCCAGCTGCCAGGTGACAAAGCCGTACCACGTCTGAACGTGGCTGGGGAAACATGGAGTCTCCTCGAGGGGCTCCTTAAAGTGCACTGACAACACAGATGTTTGTCTGCTGCTGTCTTGGGGAAGGAGAATCAGTGATGAGGAGCTCCCTGACGCCAGGGCAGTGTCACGAGGGCCACCGGAGACATGTGCAGAAGCAAACACTGCCCTTGGCCATTTCCGAAAAGTCACCCTCTCCCTCCACAGGGCCATTTGGCCAGGGAAGAGCCCGGGAACCACATTTCTATGACCAGTGGTGGAAAGGGGTTGAGCACATTTCTCCCGGCCACACGCTGTGTCTGAGCTTACACCAGGCTTGGGGCAGGCACAGAGCTGTTGCCTCAGGGAAGGCAGGGGTTGTGCCAGGGTGGGAGAGGGACAGCAGGGACAGAACCCTCCCAGGACATCTGGAAAAGCCATTGCGCGGACACAAGGCGGAGAGAGGCTCTTCATGGAAAACAGGCCTCGGCCTGAGAAGCTCCTCATTCTTCCTGTCCCCGAGGACAGCACGGGGCCACAGGGGAGACAGAGCAGAAGCAGAGGTCAGGAGAAGGCTGCAGATGCTGCTGCTTTGCTCTTCTTTTGCAGGAGGAGGGTCAGGGACCAGGGCGCAGAGACAGCCCTACACAGTGTGGGTGAAGTCCCAGGGTGCGGTGGGAGCCCTGGCCCAGCAGGAAGGCGGTGGCTTCGCTCTCCTGTAGGATGGGACTCAGCCAACTGCTCACCTGTGGGACACGTTACGCCCCTAAAGCAGCTCCTCAGACAGGCTGACATTGCAGTCCCTGAGACCATAAATGCTTCCTGGTGTGGGAAAGCCTCTGGATAGGGATTTGGAGGTGTTGAGCTCACGCTGGAGCATGAGGCTGGTCCCGAGAGGAAACGGGTAGTGTCTGAGGCTGGAGCGTGGTGTGGAGGGGCCACTGACCCAGGCCACCAGATCACCAGAAGCTAGAGGGGCAAGAACAAGGCTCCTTTAGGGCCACTTGGGGGCGCTGCTGCTGCCTTACTTCAGCCCAGCACAAGTGACTCTGTAACTGGCCTATGCACGCGTGTCGGAAGAGCTGAGGTGCAGCGTGGCTGTGGCTGTGACAGTGGCCACTGGAAAGGACTGTAGATCAGAGCAGGGCTGGGGGCTCTGGGACGCAGCAGATACACAGGTGGGGAGAGTGCACCGACAGCAGTGAAGCTTTGGGTGAGCAGGCCCCACAGGGAGGCCTGGAGATACGGGGTGGCCCAGCAGCCAGTCCTGGGTCAGCAACCCACAAGCACCTCGCTGGGTGTCTCCAGGTGAGGACCAGCGCCACCTTATGTCCTGGGGCAGCTCTAGCTCCAACAAAGGAGCAGATAGCAGGGGCCCTGAGTGGCCTCCCTGGGACTTCAGAGCTGGGGTGCCTGGCCCAAAGCACCCTGTGCACCTTGGGGTGGCGCCACGCTTATCTCAGGCTGGAGAGAGCTCAGATGGCACCAAGCAGCTTGAGGTCACGTCCTGGCCTGGGCCACCCCGACTGGCCTCTTCCTGTTGTTACCACACAGAAGCCGTCCCGGGAGAAAAAGCCTCACTCCAAGCAAAGCTGTCTCCAGTGCACTGGGAGGGCCTGGCCTTCGCAGGTCCAGAGCCGCAGGGATGCCGGGCCGGTGTCACTGTGACCCCCTTCACGCTCTCGCCACGCCTGGAGGCTAGGTATAGCCCTGGGATTCAGAGAGTAAGAGACAGCGGTGTCCTCAGGCGGTCCTAGGCATGCGGGCAGATGCCAGAAAACAGCTGGTCACAGGATTCCTGAAACTCACCGCCTCACTTCCCTGTCCTGGTTTTTGCTGTTTGAACTGACTTAGGCTTCTCTTTGAATTGACTCATCTTTCCCCTCTTATGTAAGTGCCAGCCTTGGGCTCACCATAGCTGTGACATCTACAAGTTCACAGGTTGATTTGCTAGGTTAGCCGCTTGCACCTAGAGTTGATCAGCACAGAGTGCACAGGGTGCCACCTCGGGCCACACAGCGGGTACACCAGGGGCCTGCGAAGAGGCCTGCACTGCCTGAGGGGACAGAGGCTGTCCCATCGGGGCGCTGCCTCGATGGCAAGGGCTTCCGCCCTCCCAGAGCCTGGTTGAGCCTGGGTGAGCAGCCCCTCTGGGTGAGACAGTCATGGCCAGCTGGGCCTGTGCTACCACCAGGGGCCCCAGAAGTGTCGCCTTCTCCCATGTCCACACTGTCGCAGAGTCAGGTGAGGCCATCACACGCCCAGCTGTCCAGACAGGGGCTCTGTGCTGAGGGCCATGCTGCCTACCCTGTCTCTGTCCGGCCACAGGAATGGCAGACAATGTCCCACTGGAGTTGAAACCCCTGGGCTGGCATTTAAATTTAACCACGGCTCTGCCAAGAAAGCCTGCAGAACAGGAGCAAAGGGTGGCATCCCTGAAAGGCACTCTTGGGCATGCTCTCCTTTCTTTCTTTCTTTCTTTCTTTCTTTCTTTCTTTCTTTCTTTCTTTCTTTCTTTCTTTCGCAGAACCAGGGATTGAACTCAGGCTCCTATACTTGCCAGGGAAGTGCTTATTCTACTGAGCTGTCTCTCTGGCCCCTCATTTATTTCTTTTAAAAGAAAACAAATACACAAACTCAAGAACTTTGAGAGACACAGGTGCGGTACCACTCCAAGGGTGGAGCAGCAGCACAGTCCAGAGCCCAGGTCGGGCCGGCAGTCCTGGGAGGAGCGCACAGGTCGAGGGCTGGACAAGACAGCCAGGTAACCACGGAGGGGCATTACTGGCCCACGCCTCGGCATGGGTCTCCCATCAGCTGGGGGACTCTCATTTGACCTTGGAGCCACCCTGACGTGGGCACTATTATTCCTAGTTCATGGGGAAGGAGGCCGGCTCAGAGAGGGTGCGCAGCTGGCCAGCGGTCAGGGCATCTGGCCCAGCTGTGGCTCTCTAGCTGGGCTCCTCTGGGAGCTGCGGCTGGATGCTAGCTATCCCCAGAGTGTCACTGCTCAAGGCTTGGTCTTGGGATGGCCTTTAGGCCCGGGGGCTTCCGGGGAGGGCCTCAGGCGCTGGGGCGCTCTCGATAGCATCGCAGAACCCCTGCGGCTCCTCCACTCATCTCCCAGCTCTTTGTGTGGGCTGTGTGGTGGCACACGACCTCCCCAGGCCATCCAGTGCCTGCCCCAGGTGTGCGTTACCATGGCGATGGCACCTACAGCACCTCTTTTATGTCTCATTGGTGCCCAGGGTCCAGGCTGGCAGGACTCATGTCCTGTTTTGCAGCAGGAGGAGGGGGCTAGAGAGCCCAGGCGTGGCAGAGCCTGGAATGAAGGGCTCCCCTTCCTGCTGAGCCTGGCCACTGCCCTGAAACCTCTGCCCATGTCTCTGCTTGTCTTCCGCCCACCTGCCAGGCCCCAGCTGAGCAGCCACCAGCTCCTTGGTGCGGGCTGCGGCATCTTGCTTGTGCTGGGTGGAACTGGGCTGTAACTTCACAACTGCACTTGGCCCTGCCGCAGGGGACCAGGAGCCCAATGACACGGCTGCTTCTGAGGCTGCCGGGGTTACGGGGCTCTGTCCTGGGTGCCCAGGCTGCTGGTGCGGTGCCGGAGCCACAGTGACTCTGAGGCTGCCGCCCGGCCTGGGCTCCCGCTGTTCCCTCTCCCGCAGGCTCTGGTATTTCCCTAAGTGTCAGCACAGAATCGCTGGCTGAGGACCCCGGAAATTTCTGTCTCCATCTCCACCCTCGGAAGTCTGGCCACAAAGAGCCCTGTAATCGGCCAAGTACTCTTCAAATGGGCATGGTTACACCTTGACCTCAAACACAAACTGTTTTTGTTACTGGCTGAGAGCCTGGGAACTAACATGACGCTGCCTGCTTGGAATCCTGGCCCCTGGCTTACCAGCGGCATGACCTTGGACATGCCACATGAGCGTGGATCCTTGCTGGGCACCCCATGCCCTGGTCTCTCCTGAAGCAACCAGGGAGCTGCCGTCTGGGCCTCAGTGACAGTGCAGGTCAGACACACGCAGGCCTGCACAATGACCCTTGGTGAGTGAGCCGGAGCTGGTCTTACTGCTCCTTTCTCCTGCTCCTCCCTCCCTCCCTCCCTCCCTCCCTCTCTCCTGGCCTCTGTCTTATCTTACCTGCACCCCGTTGGACTACCACGACCTACTGACACCAAAGCTCCTGGTCTTGGCTAAGGTTCCACAGCCAGGAAGCAGACCAGCTGTGCAGACCCAGCTTTCAGACTTGCCCTTTGTGGATGCCCCCCCACCCCAGTCTCCTGGCGCCCCCAGGGTCCTTGCGAGCCAGCTGAGGAGGCTCCGGGCTCTGTCTGTCCTCTTAGGGGCTGTGTGGCCAGCAGTGGCTTCCCTGGCCTCTCTGGTTTCACTTTCAGTTTCTTAGTCTCTCCACAGATGACTTTAGATTGCGATAAAGCATGCACCCTGCAGGGCTCAGCTGAGCCCACACAGGGTCCCCGCCTGGCCTCACCTGGCCTCCTCCTGGCCAGGGTTCTTTGTTGCCCCCCAGGTGCTCAGAACTCTGGGCCAGACTGGGAGGGAAGGTAGGAGTCTGGGACCCTGGGACCCACCTCCGCCTGGGCCTGCATGAAGGCCCTGCTCGTCGAGCCTGGCAGGCTGGGCCCACAGTGTCTGCTGCTCAGGACTTCCCTGAAGTTGGCTGGTCACATCTTTAAAACACTGCCCAAAACTAACCAAAGACATCTTTGGACCAAATCTGGCCACTAGGTCTAAAATGTCCCACTTAGTTACCCGTCGTCATGCTCCAGACAGCAATACTGAGACCCCCCTCGCTCCATGAAGCGGGGCAGCCCCAGGAAATCCTGTGCGGGGCTGGTGAGGGTGTGGAGAAGGGACACAGGGGACTTGCCACCTTGTTGGCAGGGGTGGGGGCGGGGGGCT